AGTCATGAAAACTGAGGCCCTGTGCTCAGGTGAGTCAAGTTTTAACCATAAGGAGTTACACAACCATCAGTGGTAATCTCCAAATGGAGATCACAGTTTAAAGAATACTTTTCAATCCATGTGGCATCTTTTATACCACTGTAACTTCACAGCAAATTTAGCAGAACATCTCAATGGTGAGGGTTGCAGCCATGACTGTGTCCTTGTCAGTATTGCATTAACAGCCCAGATCTGATCAACTGCATGAATCAATCAAGAGAGACAGACTGGTGTCTTTCCTGCTGTCTTTGAACATGCAGCAAAACAGGAAAGCAGCATTTTTTAGTTCCTTCCTGTTCATAATTACTAAGGAATAAAAATCTGGGATGATGAAATGCTCAATGCAACTCCCAAATACACTGAGAATTTCTGATTCTTCTCAATAGCTTTTCCTGAACATTTGCAGCAATATCACAAATTTGTCATGACATATTTTGTCATAGAGGCAATGGCTTTATTACACAGGAGACAGTAAAAGCAATGTTAGATGTCTGACACATGCCAAACTTTTAAACTGGAAAAATCTCAATAATGTTTCATTAATTTATAATATTTCTATGTAAAATAACATTTGCTAGTCAACTGCTTGACAAATTCAGCAGATTTTTTAAATGAATTTTCAACTTAAAAGGAGGAAACACTGACTGATTTGAAGTTAAACTCATAGTTTGAAATTCTTAGACAGCTTCTGGACCGATTTCTCAAGACACGAGAACAGCTGAGAAGCAGACTGGTGAAACTGCTGGTTAAGCTCTGATACAGACAAAACCAGCTGTGCACAGGCCAAGGAAAGAACCAACTACCTGTCACAGCCACCCTCCTCTACTAAGCTCATGGATATACTTTCTACACTTTTCCATGCATATAATACACTTAACTCTGCCCTTGCCTGGATAGTTAAGAGAGCAAGAGACTGCTACAGTCAGGTATCTGTGTAACACACCACAAAACAGTACAGCCAGCTACAAAAATGCTAAATTACAGCACAGTGGAAAAATGTTTCATTTTAATAGAGTCAAATTTATTGACCTCGTTAACATCACAGAAGTGACAACAGATTGATCCATTCTCTATTTCTCAGACTTGCCATTGGAACAGCACTTTTTTGGCCCTGAATAGATGAACATTATCTGCCTAACTGAAGTGGCAATATTGATAAAATTAACTGAAGGTTCACTTCTCAGTCTGCTAATTAACTCATCTGAAAGCATGTGGAAAAAGACTGACTTGAAAGGATACTCCACAGACAGCAGACTGCAGCACTATTTAATAAGATATTGTAGCAAGTATATATTTATGCACTTTGGTTGGTTTTCTTTTTTTTTTTCTCAGCCACCTTCTTCATCCATAAATCATATTAGCAATGAAAAAAAGGTTGACTACATATACTGCCTTTTGATTGATTTTGTACTTTCTGTAAGTAGAAATGTCAATATGCTTTCATTTTTTTCAAGTTCAGATCCACTGCTCAATTAGCTATTATTTATGACAGTACTGACTATTCATTACTACTTTTCTCAATAGAATGAATAATCCATAGGACAATTTACCTTCATCGCACAGCTAAACCCCAAACTTAATTTGTTATTAAATTCTTAAAATGTTTTTCAACTGTTTATACCAAGTTTCAAGATATAAGCCTTTAGTTTTCTGTCCTCTCGTTCCTCAGGCTAGATTAGCATTTTAAACAAACAGCTCCTTACTAAACTGATTACCAAACAAGTTCCCCTGAATTATTATGTTTATTGGAGGATCGTGCCTCAACCTGTAATTCTAGTTTCAATGTGGTGCTTCCTTTTCAATTATTTTCTACTTAAATATGTCATCACTATTGCTAAACTCTTCCAGGTGTGGTATTCCAAAGCCTGATTCAAAGCTTGCAGTTTTCATGTTTGCATGTTCTGAAAATGGACAGAAAATTCAACTTCCCTATCCTCCATCCCAGAGCATGATCAAGTTCTTTCTGCCCTTATGGGATATACTAAACCAGATTACTCAGAAAAAAAAAACAAACCCTGGGCTAAAGAGAAAAATACTGCTGAGTGCATAAATGCCTTCAGATGATAGTTAAGACTTGCTTTGCTAAAGTGTGTTTTAAAGCTGTCCGAGAAAACAGCTGAAGAAACCCATTTATGAAAGTTACTATTAATGCATATAAAACATTAAACTTAAGGAAGGATTAGAAGGTTATCTGAACACAATTTTTTCTATAAGGTTATGGACCCTTCAGAATATTACACAATCACAAGACGGTCAGAAGTGGGCATATAACAGCCATATGGCCATTGTGCACTCTCTCCACTGAAGAAACAGCTGAAGTATAAAAAAAAGAAGTGGATCAAGGGTTGGACTTGATGATCTCAGAGGTCCTTTCCAACCCATCTGATTTTATGATTCTATGATTCTATTCCATGAAAGACACCAATACATTCACTAAGATGTGCATGTATCACTTACACAAGTGAATGTAATGCAGCTTAATACTTTAGAATAAATGAAACATGCATCTATGGGAATATTCAGTGGGGTGTTTCTTAACTGCCATAGGACAGAATTTTTCCTTAAACAAAAGCCTTTTAGGGACTGTTCTAAGGGACTGACTCTCAGCCAGATTTTGCACACACTGTTTGCACAAACAGCATGTTTCAGTAACTTACAACAGGGTACTTCCTGAGCCTTCAGTTTGACAGCAGTCTACAGGTAAAGAAATCCCACAGAGGTGACAACAGACAGTGATTTTGCATGGGTGATATACCCCCATGACACTATACACAGGAATTATTTGTGGTGCTTGACAGCTTAAGAAAAGAACTTTCTCAGTTTGTAAAATTCGTCTACTTTGCAACACAGGGCAGATTTATATCTCACCTGACATCACTGCAGCAAGAAGCTTCTTGCACACTGTTGGGGTTCTTCCCCATTCATATCTTTGATTTAAAAACTACACTTCGGTACAAATACTGAAACAGTACAGCTTTTAAAATGAACTTGGTTCTTCTTTTGTTAACCAGGAGCATGATGCACCCGAAGGTATTTCAATGTTTAGTAAAATTATTTAGACTATGATCTTTTCTCAACTTAATAAAAGCTTTCTTCATGTAAACTGCATGTTTTCCTTAGTAAAACAAATATCATACATATGTTTTTTCCTTGTATTTCTATTAAAACTGATTTATTAAACCAATAAAATCTTATATAAAACTGTCAAAGGTAACTTTTATTTCAGTTAGTGTTCCTTAGAACCAGTAGATTTCAACTGTTCACAATGGGTTTTTAATCATGAACTAGAAATGAGGAACAGTCATCTTCAAAATTTTTTCAAGTCATAATCTGTATTAATTTGAACTAAAGCAAAAGCACAGGGAAAAAAATTCTCTGAAGTAGTTACACCAGTCAAAAGCTGGGTTTCGCATTTCAGCTGACTCCACCCCTGGTAATTAAGAATGCTGTTTCATAGTGTTTTAGGATTATTAAGTGCTTGTCATCCTATCGTCCTTCGTAATTCCTTTGCACCAGCACTGACACTTTCATAATTACATGATGAGGCAATTCAAAGCACTGAGCTAGCCAAAAATTAGGTGGTTTTCAGGCAGGTCAACATGCCAGCTCAACTCATTTGTGTGCTCAGTCAAGCACAAGAAGTATAAGTAGTGGGGGGCGCCAGAGCTTGTGCAGCATTAGGAAGGAGTGACCATCCAAACCATCAAATCCCCATTGTTTTTAACTGCCTTAGAATCTAAGCAGAGCTAAAGGTAGGTTGGCCCAGAAAGGCCTGCCTGAATTTCTCCTCCAGCTTCAGTAACAGATTCCTTGTCACTCCTCTTTTCCTGGCATTAGGATTCCCATTGTCACTGGTGATCATTATGAAAATATAACCTAAAGGAAAACTAGTAATTTTCATTCCATAATCTTACTCACCTCTTGACCACATAAAAATTTCTGGTGATAAGAGGCAGGGAACAGAACAACGTGGTTCCGCAGAGTGTGAAATGCTTAGATTTACACTCCTTTAACTGCAAAACTGAACTCGCCAGTCTCTGTGAGAAGACTGACTCTATTAAAGTATCCCATAAAAAGTTCTTCTTCAATGAAGTTATATTTGCTATCCCTATAGTTACCAAGTTTCAGAGCTGAAGGAGCACCCTGAGATTGTCTTCGCTTGGAAAAAGGAAGCGCACCCTCCCGCCCTGTCCCAGCAGTAGCGGCCAGGGACGGGCTCTGAGCGGCGGGGACGCGCACGGGGGCGGCATTGGCCGCCGGCAACGCCACTTCGGAAAGTTTCCCTGGTCTGTTCCAGGCTTCTCCAGCCGCTGTTCTCCGGCGTCTGGCCCGCGGGGAGGGAGCGCCCGGAGACACCGCCGCCCACCCCGCCAGAGCGCCTCCCAGGCCCGGCCCCGGACAGCCGGGGGCGCCGCGGCCCCGCTCCGCCCGCGGCACGGACGGCGACCGGCGCTCCCGCCTCCCGGCCCGCCCCGCAGGAATGCGGGGGAACCACCGCCCGCGCCTCCCCCGCCCGGCCCCAGCCCCAGCCCCGGCCCCCGCGCCCGGTACCTTCCGGCCCCCGCCTCGCCCCAGACCGCGCTCCCCGCCTGCCGCCGGGCGCCGGGCGCGGCGGGATCTCAGGCCTGCCGCTCCCGGCCGCCGCCGCCGGGCTCCTGCTCCAGCGAGAGGGCGAGCTGGCTGAGGCCGTAGAGCAGCGAGCAGACGCCGCAGCCCAGGCACAGCAGCGCCACCCGCGCCAATCGCCGCATCCTCCGCCCGCCCGGCCCCGCCAGCGCCGCGCGGGACGCGACTCCTCCGCCAGCGCGAGCGCGACGGGCGCGGCGGCGGCGCGCGGGGGCGGGCGGGGGCAGGGCCGGGCGGGCCGAGGGGCGGGGCCGGCGGGGCGGCCGCAGGGCGATTGTCCCGAGAGGAAAACAATGGCCCAGATCCTCCTCTTCCCCCGCGGCCCCGCGCTCAGCCCGGGCTCGCCCCCGTGCAGGTCTCCGGAACACGTCCCTGGGCGAGAGAAGAAACGTCCCAGGCAGAGACAGCGGCAGCACTGACGTACCAAAAGCCCGCAGGGAGAGCGCACAGGCTCCTGTCTCGCAGCGTCTTCGTGAAGGGCAAAAGTGGGACTGAAGTCCCCTCAAAATGACACTCTTTTCTCCTATGCTTAATGTTTCTGTTCCAATAACTTCGATTTTCCTGTGTAAAAGCTTCACAGCTGCCTCTCCACAAGGATACTCTATAAGTACAATAGCTAAAGGGAGCATGCCAAGAGGATGGAGCCACGCTCTTCTTGGTGGTACCAAGCAATAGGACGAGAGACTACGGGCAGAAACTGATGCGTGGGAAGTTCCATCTGAATATGAGGAAGAACTTTTTTACCATGCAGGTGACTGCACACTGAAACAGATTGCCCAGAGAGGTTGTGGAGTCTCCCTCATTGGAGATATTCAAGAACCGTCTGGACACAATCCTGTGCCATGTGCTTTAGGATGACCCTGCTTGAGCAGGGAGGTTGGACCACAGGACACACTGTGGTGCCTTCCAACCTGACCCACTCTGTAATTCTGTTATTCCTTCTCATTCCTTAGGCAGCTGTATCCTTTCTCGTTGTACAGAAACAATCAGAGCATGCATGGACTCCAGTGCCCTTCCCTCCTCCGGCCTTGGCACACAGGTGACTGCACAGTACTCTGGCCCAGGGAGCAGGTGGGTGCTGCTGGGCCAGGAGGATGCTGAGCTGGAGCAGGTTGGTGAACTGAGCCTGCAGGATTTGTTTGTGGTCACTAGCAAAGAGAGGGTTATTTTGGCTCACCAAGTCATGCTTATGGATAACAAGATTTAGCTCTGGGAAGTGGTGGAACAAATAATAGCTGTATATCCTGCTAGACTGGGGGAATATTGGTTGGGTTTCAGCAGAATCCAACACAGTAGTGCATCCCTCCTCACTGGCCCAGACCACTGAGCAAAGACCTAATAGCTTAACTAGCCTACAGTATCACAAAGGTAAGTATTTTAAAGTCATCACTCAGTGCTGCTCCCTCAGCTTTCAGATTTAAAAAAAAATAAAAGTTTGGAATAATTCTGCTTCCTTCTTTGTCCTCACAGTGCATTTGGCTCATATTTTCTCTATGAACTGGAAATACCCTTTTTTAAAATAAGTGATGATGAATTTAGGACCCTGAATTTTAAGAAAAATGCCAACATATAAAACATAAAAAAATAGTTCTGTTATCGATTCTGTGGCCTAAGGGTGAATCTCATATGGGAATGCCCATAAAACCTCAGCCATAGTTTTACTGCTGCTCTTGGCTGTGCTTAAAAGAAGGGGGAAAGCAGAAGGCCAGTTGGCAACTCTGGTAGTTGGAAGAGAAGTAACACCAAAATTGTCCTGCCAAAATTATTCATCACCTCTTCCTCAAAATAAAAGAAGAAATGAGGAGAAAAGGTGGCCCTCAGAAAATACTGGATACTCAACTCTCTTTGCAGTGTAGATACCAGGATGATTACTAGAGATACAAGCAGGGAAGCTGGGACTGAGAAAAGAAGAAGCAGAATCCAAGAGAGGTAAGGAACTAGGGGGCATGAGCATGATGAAAATGCAGGGCCAAAGATGGCAGGGTAAAGATGGAAGTCAGAGATGAAATGGGGAAGTATTTATGAAATGAACTCTTTCTAGAGTTTGTTTAATGAAGTAAGGGAAATAAATGTTTGTAAGATCCACGTGCTGGCTTGCATTACAGAAAGAACCAGTTCCAAAAGCCCCACTCAAAGTCTTAGCTGGGCTTTCTGCCCCTCTGTTCTGTGTTCCTCACTGCTTTCTACTACAACTTCTATTTACTTCTACTACAGCATTCAGCTTCCCTGATTTTGTCTTTGCACTCAAAATCTGGGTCATTGTTCTCATTGCATGTCTACCTGCTGACCTGTGTCATGAATTTGTGCACTGTCCCACTTCACAGTCCCTTACATACACTACCAAGTCCTTATGGCAGGGAATGAGTTACAGAGAGAGTCAGAGTGGAGAGATACAACTGAGTATTTACTGACAGCAAGCTTAAAAGCAGAGACCAGTTAGTCCCTACTGAGGTGTGATACTTGTCCTTTTTATGGAAGAGTGTTCCAGCCAGAGAAATTGAGGTTTGAAAGGTCTTATAAAGGCACCAAGAATGAATGTGGCAGATGGGCAGCAATAATGCTCTCATGCTTCAGAAGAAGAAAGTATACTCTTGGATGAGAAAAGAAGAAATAAGGAGTGCTAAGGAGAGGCAACACAGGGAGAATTTTTTAATTATTATTATCAATCATGTCATTACTGAAATAGGAATTTACAGGATTCTCTTCATTCAATGCTGTCCAATAATACATTAATAATTAATCAGTGGGAATGTATCTGTAGTGCTCTAAAAATATAACTAAGGTAAGGTCAGAGAGAAAGTTAGTATCTTTTTTTAAGCTCTGTGATGCTATTGGGAAGCAAAAATCAGTTAAACTTGCATGCATGCAAGTCTTTTTTTACACTGCAAAATCAGTCCATTTAATCAATTGGTGTGATAAAGATAAAATGCTTCTCACTACAAACTCAGCCATCTGAGTAAGGAAGATAAGCAAAAGTGACTGAAATGCCATACCTAGGCAGTATCACTGAGAAAAAACACCATCATATGGTATCTAATTACATAATTCCACCTATAAATTCTTTAAAGATTAATAATTATGTATATTTATTACTCACCATGAATAGTTAATTAACAATATGTAATATATTAAGCTATAACATTTGCTAGTCTTTAGTAAACTTAAAACATGAAGAGGTATAATCAGGTGCAAGATTCTCTCCTTTTAATAACAATTTTAAATCTTTAAATTCTTTCTTTACTGGAATTTAGTTACTTAGCCATGGTAACTTTTGTATATTTAGAATTCAATTCTATTTACTACATTCAGAAATTAGCTGAAATTCAGAAAACAGCAATCTTATTAAACTACTGGTGTTAAATAAGTAGTTAGAATATCAATTTTCAAGAGGATCAGCATCTTATACTTCTGCTAGTGTGTTCAAGGGTCAGAAGAGCAGTTACTCTGTGCCAGAAGAGGAAAACAACATTATAACAAGTCATTAGATCAAGACACAAATCAGATCAACTTAATTAAAAAACCCAGTCCTAATCAGATGCATTTGTATCATTCCCCCTGTTTTTGTTCTTTCAGGAAGTTAAACTATTAGTTAAGTTGGCAGAGCAGTAAGATTTTGTGCTGACAGCTTTGTGTCAATGCTGCCTCATGTGCAGACCAGTTAAGGGTTTGTCAAGGGCAGCGACACTTTCTTTGATGTTCATGTGCCCTTTCACACAAGCTGCAGTGTCAACACTCAGCTATGATAGATTGTGAGGTTGGGTAATTAAGGAGAAACTGCTTTGTTGCCATGTGTTGTACATATGGTATCATCGGACTTCTTGAGACAATGACCCTTTTCTGTTGCTGCCAGATATCACTGTTTTTTTCCTCCCTGATACTTTTTAAGAGAAAGACATAGTTTGGTACAACTGCCTTCCATTCTTATTGCATCTACTCTTCAGATTTCCCAATATATAGAAATGCCCCCATGTCATAGTTCGTATTTTTAGCAAGGAATTTTTCTTTCCTTTCCTCCTGCCCTGTGTGTGCGCTCTGTATATTGCCCATTTAGTTGAACAAAGGAATCGGCTTGAGCCCCTAATGGTCGAGATTTGTTTCCTTGACAACGAAGGGGGGAGTTGGCTGGTGTGTGACTGGAAGGGGGTGGAGGCTAGGGGGGGAGGAGAGTCTCTCTCTCTGCCGAGGTGAGAGGCTACTGCGGGCTGCAGACACTGCTGGGTTCCTTTGTCTCTTTCCTGTCGGAGGGGAACTCTGGCTGCTGCTCTTGGCTCCACTCTGGCTGGCTGCAGCCCTGCTTACAATGGACCCTAATCAGCTGAAGTTTGTGAGTTTTCTTCCATTGGGAGAACTTTCTGTTTTATTGCTGTTGTTTTTCCTTCCCCTTCTTCCCCCCCCCCACCACCACCACCTGGCGGCAGCCAAGGATCCCACAGCGCTGCCTGGTGACGGGCACTGGACATTACAAGTTCTACTCCTCCAGTGATCCAACAGCGCCACCTGGTGAATGGTACAGGACATTACAAATTTTGCATCTCCAGTGACCCGACGGCGCCCCCTGCTGACTGTGGTTGGAACTGCACCAAAGGGTGCAAGAAATTGAACTATTTAATTTTTCCTTTTGCAAGTTTATCGGTTTTGTTCTTGAAGGGGATTATTGGTGGGTATAGGAGTATTACTTAGTTATTTTACTTGTTTTTTTTTTTTTTTTGTGTTCCTGTTAATACACACATACCTTTTAATAAAGGGCTGTTATTTTCCCTTTTCCATAATTTGTTTTCCTTCAATCAAAGCCTCTTAATTTTGGATTTATAATTGCTTGGAAAAAGAAGTTTGGGTCTTTTCCTCCTAATTCATCCTCAGCAAAAGACCCTTGTCTCATTTAAACTGGGACACCCCAGTATATAAAAATATTGATAAAATTTTTCAGTTTTAGGACAGGAATAAGAAAAACACCTCAGGACATTTGTACACAATTAAAATTAAGTAAGCTGCATTGTAAGCAGTTTGGGAAGGGGTATGATACTTTGCAAATTTCCTAGTTTCTTCTAATATGAATCAATTATTTCTTCAATAGAAAAAGATCACTTCAAAATTTATTTAATGGATCCTCTGTGAATAAGTTATTACATATTAGTCAAAATTTTTGTATCATTCCTCTCACAAAAGTTCAACTTCCATGCCCTAAATAACCAAATAAAGATCTATATATGTAGGTTTACACAGTATTTAGTGGTTTACTACATTAACAAGCAGAATGAATACTTTCTAGGAGCACAAAGAGAATTTTCTTTTTATCTCTTTTTCTGCATTTGTGTGTCAAGCTCTTTTCTTCTGTAATATTTCTAAATATGGAGCTCCAGAACATCAGTCCAAAGAGGATTCTCAGTGTAGGGCTCTTGTTTCTTTAAGTCATCTAAAATTCTCCAAGCATGGTTATAATGAGGTGATTGGTGACAGCCAACATGGCTTTACTAAGGGCAAATCACGCCTGACAAACTTGGTGACCCTCTGCAATGGGCTCACAGTCTTGGTGGATGAGGGAATTGCATTGATGTCATATACCTGGACTTGTGCATAAAATCCTTGTATCTTAACTGGTAGTTGATGAGAAGTTCAACATGAGTAGCATGTACTTGCAGCTCAGAAAGCCAATTGTCCTGGGCTGCATCAAAAGCAGCGTAGCCAGCAAGTTGAGGGAGGTGATTGTGCCCATCTATTGTGCTTTCGTGAGACCCCACTTGGAGTACTGCATCCAGCTCTAGGGTCCCAGAACAGGAAGGACATCAACATGCTGGAGCAAGTCCAGAGGAGGCCATGAAGGTGATGAGAGGGCTGAAGCACCTCTCCTATGAAGACAGACTGAGAGAGCTGGAGCTGTTCAGCCTGGAGAAGAGAAAGGTCTTGGGGAGACCTAATTGCAGCCTTCTAGTATCTAAAGGGAATGACGAGAGAGCTGGGAAGAGACTTTTTACAAGGGCATGTAGTCATAAGGCAAGGGAAAATGGCCTTAAACAGAAAGAGGGTAGGTTTAGGTTAGACATAAGGAAGAAAAAATTCACAATGAAGGTGGTGAGACACCAAAGAAGCTGTGGATGCCCCATCCCTGGAAGTGTTCACATATTCAAATATGCACTATAGAAATAAGGCAAGCAGGGCTGGTTTTTGTTTGTTATTTGCTTATATATATAATTATAGCTAAAAGTCCTTATGGTGTCCTGCTGTTGTTTGCTACAGCATCAAGTGTTTTTGAGTCCTCTGACACACAGATCAGGGTCTTTAAATTACTACAATACATAATCACTTTTTTTTCCTCTAATGCAATATTTACTAGCAGTAGTCATGCACAACAGCAATTTTGCATTATGTCTTGAAAGCTCAATTTTTAAGATGAAATATATCAATAATCTGAAAGTAATCCTGTAAGGTATTTTTTTACCTTTTCCATTTCACAGCAACAGTGCAGACTCTACACAGTGAATCTAACGCTACTTGTACTAAGTATGCTCATCCTAGTCACTTTTTTGAAGATCCTTAAAAGGAATGCATTAGCTCATGAAATCCTCAGACCACAGACAGAAAACGACTGTTTTGTGGGTTTTTTTCAGTTGATGTAAAAAGTTTATGCATTTTATGTATTTATTATTTTATTTATGTATTTATTATTTCCAAGTGCAAAACCCCGCATGTCTAGGAGAGTGAAACTGCATCTAGCAAACAGCTAAAAAGTTTAGATGACAACTGACAGCTGTTCTTGTAAGAGGAAACAGGTATAAAGGAGTTGTCAGGACTCTTGAGAACCATTCAGCGGTGCAAGCCAGATGATACACTGAAACCAGTTCCATTTCAAATGGAAAAGACAGCTGTTGGTCATTCAGTAAGAAGGTGTTTTGGAAAGGGGTCAGTCAAACCAAGTGAATAGTTGACCAACTTTGTCAATTATTTTACCTTTTTATTTTGTTCATCTGTACGCCTTTTTGCTCCCTAGTCCTCTTAAGTCCTGTTACCTCCTAGTGTAACATTGTAAACGAATGTGAGACAACATCAGGCATGGAGAAATAAAGTCCTAATGTTTGTCTGTCCACATAATTTTCTCTAAGGGTTGTTTTAGTTCTGTAATTGCTAATTAAAAAAAAAAAAAAAAACACAACAACAAAAAAAAACCCACAAAACCAACCAACATATTAGAGGAACCAAATGCAGTAGTTGTTTAAAGCATTTAGTGCTTGAATTATAAGGAAGAAGAGATAAGACACTAATATTGTCTTTTGTATTGACTACTTCTTTAAAAACTGAATTGAACAGCCACATCAGACAACTGCCTAAGGTACCAGCACCATTATACTTGGTCATGCCTGAAGTTCATGGGAGTACTTAGGGGAGCAGTCAGCCTGCCTGGCAATGCCCTGTGCAACACCCTGGGCTGTGCACTGATTTATCTAAGGTGTCAACAGAGTCATGTTCTCAGCCCATACCACTGCATGAGTGGCAGCAGAGCCAGCAAGTAGTTGGAATATGGTGTTGTGCTGAACTTTGAGCCTGAAAAAAACAAAATAACTTGAAGTGCTGCTGACTCATGATTGCACTTACGCATTACTCAGCCTTCCTTTACTCATTTTTTATCTGTAAATTTAGAAATTTTCTTTTCTACTATTTTTTTTTTTCCAGGACAAGAAAGGGTAAAATAAAATTGGATGCTGTCCTAAGCTAGCTCCAAGCACCAGACCCATATCTGCATGGGAATGCTGTGATCTCCCATGGCTGCCAAAACATTTGTGCAGAATTTAAGAAATTTCTTTTTTTTGATCTTCAGACCTATAATTGTGTAGCAGTCTTGTAAAACAATCAACAGTGGAAAGAAATTAGTAAAAGGGTGATAGAAGGGCTTTACAACTTGCTCTCCTCTTTTGAATCTCTTCTGTTCTTTTAAAATTTATGAGTAAGACTAAATTAGACCCCTTTAACTAGTGACAATAGCCTCATTCTGGTATCTGATGCCAATTTAGGCAGTATTTCTGCTAGTACCAAACTTGGTAATTATGTCAACAGTCTCCTAAGACTTGCTGCTTGCACCTGGGGATCTGTGCCCAACACTAGCAGGGTGACATTAAAAGCATTCTGCACCTGAGGAGGTATCAGCCTCACACACTGCATCCCTGGAGTGGGGATGAATTCCCATACTCATGGACAACACTGGAGTTACCGGCTGCACAAATGCAAAACTCTGACACTCTTTACAAGGGAACCAGCTTCTTTTAAGAATGCCTTGTAGAACCTCTGTCTCATGCTGCAAAGCGACACAAATGACAATTCAGGGAACTGAACACAGGAACTGTGTGTAGCTTGAGGATAAACCGAGAAAACCCACAGAGACCACAGTTTTATAACCTGCTTTAGTAACAGAGTAGCTGTATATACAAAGTTTCTTACCTCAGTCGTTACTTTAATTTGGAACCCTGGATACTTCCATAATTTCTTGCCGCAGGAATATCTCAACTTCCATCATAGCCAAAAGAGGAAATTAATTATCTCTGCCAATAAATTAGTAGAGCCCTCTTGGCATTTTGAGATCAAATTTCCCAAGT